CCATAAATTAGTTCTGTGTTCATCTGTCGGCATCCTGCTGGCTCTGGTTCTTGCACAGATGCAGAAACTTGTGCACTCGTGTGCTGAGCTCAGAGATTGTGCAAAAGTTGTAAAAAAAAAAAGATTTGTGTGTACCGGGAGCCAAATGTAAAATGCAAAATAAAATGGTAAATAAATGTCACTAACACATTTTCAGTAAGTAATTCACTGAGTATTAACATTTTTCCACTAACATTTTATTGTTATGTAGCTCACTGTTCTTACATTTTGCTATTTTTTTACTCAACRTTCAAATACAAATGTAAATTTTAAATCCTATATCGAAACATGTAAATCTAAACGTAAGAGTTAAATGTTGATGTTTACATTTAAGCATTTCAGAATGGAATGCAGCCTTTGATGTTGGTGCTTGGCTCTTGTTAGGACATCATCACCCTGAGACAAAAGCAATTGCTAACGCTTGAACGCTGGTAATGCTAACGCACAGACACCTCTAACGCTGCTAATGCTTCCCTGCGAAACACAAAACTTGCATTTGTGGATGGTGTCCAAGCTGCACATCAAACTGCCGGACAGTTATCCATATTGTTTTCAATGAACACATTTTGATTTTATATTTTATCTTCAGCAGTGTTGTGTTAGCAATGGTTAGCAGCGGCTAGCATTGACTTCTGTTGCAGGATGATGACATCATCCTGGTTAGCTAATGCTAACTGTTGCTAACACTTTTAACGCTGCTGAAGATGGCATTTAAAATATAAATTCAAAATGTGTTCATTGAAAACAATATGGAGGTCTAGGTCTTGTAACTTGAGGTGCAGCTCGGACACTGGCCACAACTGCAAGTTTGATGTCTTGTAGGGAAGCGTTAGCAGTGTTTACAGCTAGCCTTATCTGTTGTCTCAGGATGATGACATCACAACAAGAGCTGTGCAACAACAACAAAGGCTGCATTCCATTCCAAAATATGTAAACTTGAACAATTAATTTCAATATTTAAGATTTAACGTTTACAGTTAGATTTTCACATTTAGATTAAGGATTTAAATTTTACATGTATTTTTTAACATTTAAATTTAAGATATGGTTAAAAATTTACAAAAACGTAAGAACAATGAGCGAAATACCAATATAATGTCAGTGGGAAAAAAATTAATTTCCAGGAACTGAGCTAAATAATGAAAATGTGTTTGTAATATTCTTTTTTTAACACTTGATTTTACACTTGCATGTGAGAGAAGGGTTTCTTGATGATTAGTCTGAGAACTGGAGGTACCTGTGCTGGAGGGTTCGCCTACCTGTGGTGCCCAGTAGCCTTGGGGGAGGCGGCGGAGGCGGCGGAGGAGGCAGGGGTGGGTATCTCCTACAGTGGCACGCCAACTGGCACTGTTCACTAACTTTCTCCACCACAGTCCGCGAGCACGACCTCTGGAGCTCTCCCTTATGGCGAGGGAGAACAGAGAGGACTGCGTTACTCAGGAGCAGCATCAGCACAACGGTGTGCAGCACAGAAACACACTCAGCTACAGCAGCAGATCCCCTCTCAGCATTCTTTTCACATCCAGCTCCAGTGTTGTCACTGCTGCTGCTGCTGTGTAGTACATGCAGAATAGTAGCACGTCGACAGCTGCAGCTTTCTCCCTGTAAGAAACCACCCACCAGCAGAGTGGGCAGCAGGCTGCCCCTAGGAGTGTGTGCGTGGGTGGACTTGGAAACTCAAGCAGATCACATTACACATGAACCCTGGCAACACTGATGTGTGTGTGTGAACAGCAGCTCAACCACTGTCTGTGGGCAGCAGCAGGGGGCAAAGGTTAGAACACTCATGACTAACATATGCCTGCTGGAAAGATCCTGATGGGAATGTTCTCGTGAAAACACACACACACTTACACACACACATGCACAACACTACTTCATGTTCCCACTAGAGCTGAGTGTTTTGTGTGTGCACCTGTGCACATCCCCTTCTCTACGTGCATTGCTCCATAAAAGAGTGCAGTTGCTGACTTCTACAGCTTCGTGGACAAGTTGTGTAAGCAGTTCCACATGCGTAAAAAACAAACAAACAAACCAAAAAAAAAAAGGGAAAGTGCAGAGTGCTTACCTGGCATGAGAGTAAAAACAGCGAGAGGAGGCAATGACAGAAGAAAAAGGGCCACAMACTTAAAGTGAATGGCATCAGATCTTGGACCAGCATTCCTCTTTGCGCTGTTCACGAAGACACAAGTGAGCGTTTCCAAGCAGTGAATGCAGCGGGCCGGGGGGCTGTTCGGGAGACAACCATCCACCCTCTCCTCCAGCTGCGCGGCGAGATCTGGCTCCAGAAATAGTTTATGCTCCAGTCATCTTCCTCTTCAGATCCCGTGGTCGGTAGCATGCAGGAGCCGGCGGAATGAGGAGCGAGTCTCGAGACATTCACATCTCTAAAAGTAGTTTGTTGTTGTTGTTGTTGTTATTCTGATTACCTCTGAGTGGCTCTCGGACAGCGACCCGAAATCACGCCGCTGCACTCCGCGTAATGTGAGGGCGGTGGATGGCCCGTACCTTACATCTCTCCCCGAGACACTCAAGCCATCGAAGTTGGCAGGAATGAGAGTAGAAATTTAAAAAAGGAGAGGGAAGAGAGAGAGAGAGAGAGAGAGAGAGAGAGAGAGAGAGAGAGAGAGAGAGAGAGAGAGAGAGAGAGAGAGAGAGAGAG